ATGGCATCACAACAATTTAAAAAATGCATCAATTTCAAAGGTGAGAGAACTGGAAGTAGATTCACCCACAGACAACCACAGTAAGCACTATTACAATATGTGAGTTTTAAAACAGCTTCTGAACTGAGGATATTAAGCAGCCAGGAAGCTGCCTCTACTTTGGCATGATCAGTCATTAACTTCATACATCTTGAAGACCATGGCGCCTCCTAGTACCTAATCTTCAGCCTGCCAGGAAAAAAAAAAAAAAAAAAGGAAAATAAAAAGGAAAAGGAAAGTTTGAGTTATAAACTCTGAGCCCATTTCCAAGGCTGCTGGCGGTTCAGTTTATTCTTAAGCCATCTGGATCACGTTATGCCCCAAGACAAGAAGAAGGCTCCTTCCTGCCGAGATAACCACAGAGAGTTCCCACTGCGTTTTCAGTATGGTCATCTCCATCGGGTGGGGCATGGCTTTGAGGATAAATTGTCTCCAGTGAGGGTTTTTCCCCTATTTGTTTTCTTCTCTCCTTAACAGGGATTACAGCCTGTCCTCTGTGGTTAGCATCCATGATGCCTGGCCTATGATTGGTTCATTCATTCATAGTGCCTTGTAGGACTGTCAGCCTGGCATTCTGTTGCAATAAGATTTTCAAACAAGAAAAATTGGGTTGTTAGATTCCATTCACCCAAGTTGATATGAGGATTTCAAGGAAATTGCAGGCTTGTCTTACTATAAAAGAAAATCAAGGGTTTATTTTTAGGGGATCCTACTCCGGGGGCTTTTCTTGGTGTTTTGCCATCTTTGTTAGCTCTCAGACCCAACACGAAACTCTCTCTGGCTCCACGGCAAAGGAAATGTCCATTCTCCTTTTTGCCTTTGCATATGTCTCTAAAGGACACAGAGAGGCTTTGTTGTCTTTGTGGTCATCGGGTCTGCTTTACACAGATGCCTATTAATCACTTCACTATGGAGACAGACACATCCATCATATCACAGCAGCTCCGAAACAGGCAGTCCAGTGAACAGGGGTGAGAGGGGAAAGCACGCACTTAACCATTTCAAGGTCCTAGCTGCCAGGGGCTCCTATACTTAGCAAGGTAATTGGTGGGGATGGGGAGGGCTCCTCCTTGGTATTTAGCTCAACAGGTGCAGTGATTTTGTGTACTTTCGTTTGTGTGTCTTGTTGCATGCTTTGATAGAACAGACATCTCCCAGCTTCTATAGGATGCAGGGGATAAGTATAGTGGAGAACAAGTTTTAATTTTAAAAAGTTATAGTAAACTCAGGCGGACTACCTGTACTTCTGAGGCAAAGCTGTTGACTCTGAAGCCAGTAGTTTTTTCGAATAATGGAGTCAACGTCGAGCAGAGTAAGCTGAAAGTCAGCTTTCTCAGGCAAGACAACCCTTAGAATTGCAGGTACATTAACCAAGACTTTCCTTCCAAAACTGGCTTGTCCACCATGTCTTTTTCAGTCATTCAAGGCTTTTCACAGCCTGCTTCCAAATGGTGATCAGCTCTCACTCTTCTGTTGCCTCTACAAGTACTCATGCATTCATTCACTATTTAACAGATATTTACCGAGCACCTTTATGCCTGGGAATTTAGGGGTATATCTCCCTCCTAAAGAAGAACAAACGTACAGTAATGTAAAGGTGATGAGTTAAGAGAGAGAAGTTAAGGTCTCTGGGGAACTTAGGAAAGAGCTAACCCAGTTGGAAGAAGTTGGAGAAGGCTTCCTCCTTTAAGCCGAGGCCTAAAGGAGAGGGTCAGAGGAGTGGGAGGTGAGCAGGGATATTCCGGACAGAGGGAAGAACTATGTGAAAGTCCAGAAGCAAGTGAGAGGATGATAGCCAAGTGGCTGGTGTCTATAGCATGAGTGACTAGGTAGGAGTTCGACTATCGACCATTATGAACACAGCTTTCACTTCCTTCCCTCTGTGCATTGGTTCTTACTGCTGCTTCAGCTGCCATCCTCCACATCCTTAAGGCCTGCCTTAAACGCCACTTCCTAGGCTGAAGCAGAAGCAGTGTATCTCTTGATGCTTCCAAACACTTTGGATGCTCACATGTGAGCACCTGCCCTCTCCCTTAACTGGATCGCAGGGTTTGTGCCTCCTTCACCTTTGTCTCTCCAAAACCTGGCACAGTGCTTTGGTCTGTGCTCAGTAGATGCCTGCTGAAGGCACCAAGAACATTACAGTCCAAGAGGGCATCTTTTCTGAGGTCTGCTGTCCCAGAGCCTGGCACTGGGCTTCCAGGGCAGATTGGAAATTGTAGAGAACCCAAGAGAAGGGCTACCGGAAACCTTATTATATATAACAATCTGGTGTTTGAAATTTCAATATGCCTTCATGTGGTCATCGTGGGAAAAGTCAGAATTGTGTTGGACTTCCTTGAAGTTTGTAACTGTTCTTACTTTAATTACATTTTGCAGGGCCTGGAGGGTGGGGTTGTTCATAATCTTTTCATTGCTTCAGCCTCCAAAGAGCTTAAAATTGCCCCTCTGAGACCTCCCTCTGCAACCCTCCAGCATCTAAAAACTCTCTCACCTCAGGGGGAAAAAAGTGAAGATTCTATTCTTTCTCAGTTCTGCCAATTTAAGACATGATTTCAGAGAAATCTCTAAGCCATTGTGTGCCTTGCTTCCTGCAATAGGAAGGTGGAAAGAATAACCATTTAGCACCTCATGACTGGTGAGAAATAGTTGGTGGTTAATGAATCAATGCAAAGGCTGTTTCAGATACTGTTTTCATTATATGCCCCATTTTCGACTGGTGAGAGTAAAAGGCCCAGGGGTTGGTAGAGGAAGGCATTTCAATGCCCCAGGATAGAGAAGCCAACTCTTATTGGTCCTCTTAGTTGGGGGGGGGGGGGGGGGGGGGGCGGGGAGCGAGATACCTGGAGATGGAGTATGCCACCCTACAAAGGCCCCTCCACTTCCCCAGGATTTCCATGCAACATCAGAAGCAATGATGTTCAGCCAGCTCCCTTTAAAGAGTTGTATTTGTTTTGAATTATTCAATTATTTAATTCCACCAGAGCACCCAGTTGTTACAAATAACTCATTTACCCTCAACATCTCTTTTGGAATTATCCCAGAATGAATTTCTTTTGATTTTTCAAATAGTTCCTCATTATCATTTTGAACATACACGGAGCACCTTTATAAATTTCTTTTGTCTAATGGATGTTAGTATTATTATATTCTGTTCTATGGATGGAGATCTAATTTGGTTCTGTGACTTCAGGTTATGGTCACTCCAAAAATGACCCACCAACTTTAGAGGCCCACTTAAAAGGGTCTCTACAATGTACCGCAAACCCATTTATTCAATAATCATTTATCAAGTGCCCAACTAAGATCCCTGGTGATAGAAAGGTTATAAATGCATATAAACTAGAGTCCCTGCCCTCAAGGAGCTGAATCCAAGATTATTAGTCCACCAGAAGTCTATAATCACCGTGTTTTGTTCAACACTTCCCGCTTTTGTTGTTTTACTTATTTCACAATGCAGAACCTACAGGCAGTCCTGAAACAGAGGTATGTGCTCTTATGTTGCCTCAACACATCATCCCTTTGGCAGCATTTGGACAGCACAAGGTCTGGAGCTGGGAAGGAGAGGTCCGCCCTCCTCCCCAGGGAGACCCATACATAACAAATGGAATGAAATGGAGCAGCTTATGCCCTCAGTGAGCTACTAACCCACTTCTCTTCTGTGGCTTCTTTTGGCCTTCAGATTTGTCCAGTAAACTACAGCATTTAAGTTCTTTCTTATTCGTCACTCCATTAGATTCTTGCAAGAACCCCATAAGGCTTTAAGAGTGTGAACCCACGTTGCAAATGAAAAAAACTGAGGCCCAGAGACGATAAGTCACCTGCCAGAAAGGTCACACAACAGCAAGTGGGAGCTTAAGGCCCCAGGCCTTCGGAGACCGCTAGCGCTGGGTGCACCCCCACCCCTCCGACAAACCCAGTGTTTAGTTCTTGACAGTGACCAATGTCACAAAGTTGATGCCACCGTTTCCATGAATGCCCCTTTGCCCTTTTCACGATATAAGCAGAAAGCTTTAAGTTTGGAAGGCATTTTCCAAGAAAAACTTAGAACTTCTTCTCTTCTTGACTGCGCTTTCAACTTCATCTCTGATCTATTTCCAACTTTGGACATGGGATTTCTGAATTTACACAAGCAGATGAGGGAAGCCACCTGCTTCATGGTAGTGATCTCAAAACTGAAGGGATGCGAGTTTTTTAAGGGCACTATTTACATAACAAAATGAGATGGAGTGGGGGGGGAGGGGTGAGACACCATTTTTCTCAAAGGTCAGACCCTACTTGATTTGTTAACAACCAAAAACTTGAACTCAAATGTTATTCCCTTAAAAATGTTCTTCCCAGTAAAAGAGCAAGTGCTTTCCATGAGATTAAAACAGTCAAGGACCTTCAGACATCAAAGAGGAATATTTGGGAACTAAAAGTAAAGCAGCCCTGGATAACCTTGAAACTTTTACATTTTTCCCAATTAAATAATGAATAAAATACATGGGACTGCTTTAGCCTTATTCTTCTTTCCCAGTTCCTCTCAAGCTGAGAGGCAATTTTTTTTTTAACGTTTATTTATTTTTGAGACAGAGAGAGACAAAGCATGACTGGGAGGGTCAGAGAGAGAGGGAGACACAGAATCCGAAACAGGCTCCAGGCTCTGAGCGGTCAGCACAGAGCCCGACGCGGGGCTTGAACTCACGGACCGCGAGATCATGACCTGAGCTGAAGTCAGGCGCTTAACCGACTGAGCCACCCAGGCGGCCCTGAGAGGCAATTTAAATTGTAAAATACCAAAGTCAACTGTAGATAACTACCTATTATAAGTATGCATTTATTGGGAAGACACAGCCCCATAAATAGTGTTGCCAAGACGAGATCCATGAAACACCCGCTAAGAAAAATTTACCTAGATCCCCCCACCCCATGGGCGAGGTCTACCCTGTGGTTAAAATTCACTGAGATCACCAAGTCAATGAGGGAAATCAAACTCATTTTATTCACAGGTGTACATTTTTGTGCCATTGTATGTAGGTGGTTAAAAATGATGTTCAATAGAACACCAAACATAATCAAAACTGAAAGAAAATCAGTTGCTATTTCAGCATTACAACAAGGAAATGCAAATTTAAGGAAGAAATTTTCATTAGCACAGTTCCTCTGTGACTAGGTATTAAAACAGATTTGAATGCAAGGCACCTCACCGTTTGGGGAGCTCCACGATATAAAAGGTGTGAGTTATAGCTGAATCCCCTGCTGTTTTTTGCTTCTCCGTTTCTACCCCCTTAAAAGTTCACGAAGATAAATCTGGAAATATTTGAGAAGTGTCACATTTGGAAATTATTCAGAATCTTGCCATCTTACAGACTTTTTCCCTGGGGTGAAGTGCCTGCCCTGCCCTTCATTACCAAGGGCATTTGTTTAATCACAGAATCTTTGTTTCTCAAGAGATATCTGCTGCTTCTATTTATTCACCCCTGAAGTCACAATCCTTTGTCACAGGACAATCATTTCCACAGCGACCAACTGTGATGTCACAACTGAGGGGAGGAGGAATGTTTAGAAAGAAAAGAGAAAGAGAATGTTCTTTTCAACAGGCAAAGGCTTCTGAGTTTTAAAACCAGGGCTTCACCAATCAAAATATTTTAGCAGAAAGATCCCATAGCAAAGCTGCACTTCTTCAAGGTCTCAGCTGTGATGGTTACAAAGTATCTCAGCAGAAGTTGAAGGGTTGCATGTTGTGGATTTAGGAAGGGGTAAGAGTTTCATTTTGCTTCATTCTAATTCTGTGCCAGCAATATCTGCCAGTAAAATACATTAAACATATTCCAGAAAGAGTTGATTTAGTAGATGAAAAATGTTTCTCCTGAGACCAGAGAAGGTACATTTTCTGTCTTACTATCATTTCCATAATAGGAACAATGTTTATATTTCCTCAGCCCATGCAGTGTCTCTAACGTATTCATGTTCTTTCTCCAGAGGCAGGAATTGAGGTATTTGAGATTTTGTTTTTAGCTACCGCATCAAGCACTTAAGATCTGACAATTGTGATGTGTATTCTCACTTGGTATTAAAAACTAAGAGCTTCAGTGTTTCCATTTGATTAGAGTCTCTCAGCTTGGTGGCTGATTAAGCAGGAACAGCAACTTTCTTCAAAAATACAGCATCTCGGTTAATGTAGTGTAAGATTATTGACGGGTGTAGTCACATAATTTTTATTAAATTGAAGAGATTAGCTCTGCTGAAGAATCTCACCGTGGCAGCAAACCCTCACTGTAATAATGAGACCTGACGCTTCTCAAACCCACTACAGGGCCCCAAATGGTCTTTTTCTTCCCCTTAAATATTCTTTCAGTTTAAGGAAGGGAAGACCTTCATTCACATATTCAGCATATTTACCTGAAATTGAGTGCACATGGGTTTTTGTGGGGTTTTTTTTTTTTGAGAAGGATGATAGAAAATCAGCATAAACATCTGTAATGTGAGCTTTAACTGTTTTCTTTTCACTGTAAATGACACACGTGCTCTTTCCTCCAGTTGCCTGAAATGCAAACACAGCTTTTCTCCAGATAGAGGCCACGGGCCCCACAAAGAAGTCATAAGAAAAGACCCTGGAAGCCTAGAGGGTTGTGCCATTTGTTCATTTAACGGGCATAAAATTGTTGCCTCTTCCTCTCCCATACTCAAAATATCTCCATTATCCCAATGTTATGAGGGTAAGATGGAAAAAAGATGAAGGGGGAAAGGAGGAGGGACAAATTCTGGAAATGAAAAATCGTCATATTCCAGGGGCTGAAACAAAGTAGAAAGAGCACATACTTGACAGAGGTTAAAGCACTTTTTCAGAACACAAAGAAGCAACAAAGGAAGTCTATTTGCATACTTCACGGGGGGGGGGGGGGGTTAATTAGTTAACGTTTGGCAAGCTGCGCCTCAAGACAAGTTGTGCAGAGGTGCTATTGTCACTTATTACTGTTATTAATTAACGGGGTGAACTTCAAACCAAAATACGCCTCGCAGTGTGCTTTCATGTCTTAAAACCGTATGCGATGTCTGTTGCAGGAGTGATTCGGGAAAGTTACCTCAAAGGCCATGACCAGCTCGTCCCCGTCACCCTCTTGGCCATTGCGGTCATCCTGGCTTTTGTCATGGGGGCCGTCTTCTCCGGCATCATCGTCTATTGCGTCTGCGACCACAGGCGCAAAGACGTGTCCGCCGTGCAGCGCAAAGAGAAGGAGCTCACCCACTCGCGCCGGGGCTCCATGAGCAGCGTCACCAAGCTCAGCGGCCTCTTTGGGGATAGCCAGTCCAAAGACCCGAAGCCGGAGGCCATCCTCACACCACTCATGCACAACGGCAAGCTCGCCACTCCCGGCAACACGGCCAAGATGCTCATCAAGGCTGATCAGCACCACTTAGACCTGGCGGCCTTGCCCACCCCGGAGTCCACCCCAACACTGCAGCAGAAGCGGAAGCCCAGCCGCGGCAGCCGCGAGTGGGAGAGGAACCAGAACCTCATCAATGCGTGCACCAAGGACATGCCCCCCATGGGCTCCCCCGTGATCCCCACGGACCTGCCCCTCCGGGCCTCCCCCAGCCACATCCCCAGCGTGGTGGTCCTGCCCATCACGCAGCAGGGCTACCCGCATGAGTACGTGGACCAGCCCAAAATGAGCGAGGTGGCCCAGATGGCGCTGGAGGACCAGGCGGCCACCCTGGAGTATAAGACCATCAAGGAGCATCTCAGCAGCAAGAGTCCCAACCACGGGGTGAACCTCGTGGAGAACCTGGACAGCCTGCCCCCCAAAGTCCCCCAGCGGGAGGCCTCCCTGGGCCCTCCGGGAGCCTCCCTGTCTCAGAACGGCCTGAGCAAGCGGCTGGAAATGCACCACTCCTCCTCCTACGGCCTTGACTATAAGAGGAGCTACCCCACGAACTCGCTCACGAGAAGCCACCAGGCCACCACTCTCAAAAGAAACAATACTAACTGCTCCAATTCCTCCCACCTGTCCAGAAACCAGAGCTTTGGCCGGGGAGACAACCCGCCCCCCGCCCCGCAGCGGGTGGACTCGATCCAGGTGCACGGCGCGCCGCCCTCCGGCCAGGCCGTGACTGTTTCGCGGCAGCCCAGCCTCAACGCCTACAACTCGCTGACGAGGTCGGGGCTGAAGCGCACACCCTCGCTAAAGCCGGACGTACCCCCCAAACCCTCCTTTGCCCCCCTTTCCACATCCATGAAGCCCAATGACGCGTGTACATAATCCCAGGGGGAGGGGTCAGGTGTCGAACCAGCGGGAAAGGCCAGGCGCGCTCAGCTCGGCGAGGCCCTCCACTGCCTGAGTACCCACCAGACCAAGATGGCCGCGGCGGAGCAGAGGACGCTGGGTCCCCCTCGGGGATGCCGGGGGACTCTGGGAAATTGGGCCACGTGGTTTGGTGAAGGTTTGCGACGCGGGACTCACCTCCATTCTCGGACTTCACTCTCCCCGAACACCGTGCAACAGGTCGGACTCACGAAAGACTTAAATTATCATCACAAACATGAGCCAAAAGCACATAGCCACCCACCCCCACCCCCACACGCATGCGCGCGCGCACCCGCGCACGCGCGCGCACAGGCTCTCACACCCACGCGCGCGCGTGCACCCACCCACACGCGCGCGCGCGCACACACCCACACACACACACACGCGCGCACACACAGGTGAACGACTGCAACGTCTTTGTCCATGACCGCACCGGGCGCTGCCGAACAGGGCTGGCGTTCCACCTGCAAAACACAAATACATTTTTAAAAATCATGAAAATTCAAAAGACAAAAAAATAAAGGATTCATTGATAATTCTAACTCAGACTTTAACAATGGCAGAAGTTTACTATGCTCAGATACTGTGAAATGCCCACCAGTGTTACAGCTTTCTGTTATTAGCAGATTAATGCCATGTTGGGCAACTATGTCATAGATTTCTGCTCCTCTCTTTTAATGAAATAACGTGACCGTTAACGCAAGTAACTCTTTATTTATTGTTCACCCTTTTTTTTTCCTTAAGGAAAGGACTCTTCCACATACCATCCTATGAACAGCTCTTCAGAAAGCCCCTTGAAAGTTAAACTATTTAACGTGAAATCCATTAACTGGAATAATTGAGTTTATTTTTACAATAAATTCACTGAGTAAATAAGTTGGAGCTGGAATTCTGAGCTTTGTGTTTGGACTGTCTGATCTCTAGCTAAAGGAAAAAAGTTGACAGGGGAATATTTATTCAAATCAACCAGTTAATTTGCTGGTCAGGTCTCTGGCCTGTAACATGCAAAAAATTAATTAGCTTAAAAGTCCTTCCAGATCCTAACTTCGAAAGCAACCGGGAGAGGAACTTTTAGAATGACACATCCGCGTCCCATTTCTGCCAACATGGCTTTGTCAGTGGTTCCTACTTTCTGTGAAGGCACCAGCTTGTGATACCCATCTCATTTCACCTTGCATGTGAGACCGCAAACAAAATCCACTAAAGGTGTGAACTAATTAATACGCTGGCTGCTACTTTGCATAAATTAATGGTTTGCTCACACGGGTTTTTCGTGGGGTTACATCTGTGAATAGCCTCTTTTCCACATGTAAATTTGTGCCTTACACCCTGAGTTGTGTACACTTGTAAACTGTCGTTATGATACACTTCCCCCCCCCTTTTGAAATAAATGCAGATATTTATTTGACCCTCCCTCCCCCCACCCCCACTCCAGCCCTCTGGAAGATTAGCATCTAGCAGATGGAAGAAGAATGTAGTGGTGATGGTAATAATCCTGCAGCCTGGGAGAGCTGGGCGGCACCACGCCCTCCGATTCACACTTCCTTCTAGTGCCAACTCCACCCACCCCTTGGCTGTGCTACCAAGCATGGCCCCCAGTGTTGTGGGTGGCAATACCCTTTCTCCCTCCAGCGTTCCCTCCTTCCCCTAGATTCTCAGATCATTTCAACATGGTGATATCCTCATTGGCCAGCAGAGAAGGGTCTAACGTCCCAGCTCCTCATTTCTGCTGTGTCCTCTGGCTGGAGAACACGCTGTGTGCGGTTGCCAGGCACCTGGGAGGTGTCTCCAAGCCATGGGCTCAGCACACACGTGCGCTGCACACAAAGAAATGAGGTGGAAATAGATGCAGGCGGGCTGGTCCCTGCTATGATGGATGAGTAACTCCAAGTACAAAGCCAATCACAACGGATGCTGCAAAAACATTGACTGGGGTGGAAGATTTTTAATTTTTTAAAAACTTTCTTCATCCTTGTGTTGTTATTGTTTGTACGGGGGCGGGGTGGGAGGGTGTGTGCTCCCCCCCTGGTTTTCATTAGCTGGAGCACACAGAGGGGACTTTTGTTTACTCTATCATGAACAAAAAAATTGTCAACATACTGTAAACAGTGAGCATTGTTTTAGGTTGTTGTGTTCTTAAACAGTTAAACAGTATATTTGGTGGCCTCTTTATTTCTTTTTATTTCCAGTTTGATCTTCTGGGTTTAGTCTTGTCTTTAAAAAAAAAAACTTTCAAAAAAAGACTATTTTGGACAATTTTGAGGTGGCTGGTGAAAACGCGGTACCTCCATAATGAGAGACCTAGGTGTGTAATGAGAACACGTGCATATGGCCTTCCTTTCCTGTAAACATCCCTTGCAGCTTTGCTGCCGTGCAGGCTAGGTTTTTGCTGTTTTGTGTTGTCCTGTTTTTATTTTGTTTTGTGAGCGGAATCAATGTTCACCTGAGAATTCCGTGCCCTGAAACCATGAAGTCTTTTCTAGAAACTGGGATAATTGTTTTTTACCTTGACTTTCCTTTGGAAATGCAGAACTTACTTAGGAAAGTGATGGGTATACACCCCCCTGCTACCTTCTCCCCCACACTTGACTCCCAAGAGCATAGGCCATGCAGCACCCACTGTCTCGTCCCCCATGCGTGGGCATCATTGCCTCAGCCGTGTTACGGAGACCTGTGTCAAAACTTCCATCCCACATCCCCACAACTCCTCACTTGCTGTGTTCTCCCTGAAATGCCCACTTGTATTGAGCTGGTCTTTTGCATTTAAGCATTTCCTTCCCCCTTTTTTTTTTCCCCACTGCGCGTGGGGGGAGGGTCCATAAACCTGAGTGTGCCTTTGCTTTCCACCCTTGCTAGACACTGGTAGATGCAACAAACTCAGATTTATATTTGTTGTAAAGTTGTAAAAATATTGTGACGTCACCCATTTTCCTTCCATCTCCACATCCCCTAACATCTGATTCATGACTTAATGTATGTTGTAAAATGGGAAGAAAAAAAAAAAAGAAAAGAAAAAAAAGGAAAAAAAAAAAAAAAAAAAAAAAAAAAAAAACAAGGAAAAGGCTCTTTATGACTTAAAAGTAATAAAACAAGACTGTTCTACATTATCATTTGTGTCCTGAATGCTTTTATTTATCTCTTAATTTCCCCCTTTGGAACCCCACCCTTCTGGGGTTGGACTTTACTCTTCTTCCCATCTCTGTCGGGTTTCCAGAGCATCCATAATGATGTGGTTAGACCCATTTGTTTACAGTACTCACACCCTTCCCCCATCACCCACCACCACCCAAATTATTGATGTGTTTTCTCTGTCTGCACCCAGCCTGGAGCGGAGTTGTAGCAGAAACCGCCGGTAATTAAAAGGCAGAGCACGCATTGACTCCCTCTATTCATTTTACGCATTTTCTTTTTATGGGCTTGTTCATCATCAAACATTTATGGTAGGCTTGATAGTTTAAGAGATCAAGGCTAGGATTTTAGTATGTAGGGTCCACTAAAAATAGATCCTTGCACAGATGTGACTTCAGCCTTTTTACATATTAATAAGATGAAGGGTGCCGGGATTTTACTCCTTGTTAGCATTTCTCTCTCTTGGAACCCAGAAGACACGGTTGGAGGTATATCAGGACGCAGTCCTTGATTTTTATTTTGCAGAAAAGCATTGCGAAATGCCTAGATAAGGTTTTCCCCTCTGGAGTGTTTTTAAAACACTTATTTACATAAGTCCACAGCTACAGTATTTTACTTTTGACTTTCTGAAACAGTGTTTTAGGTCAGTCTGCATGTGGGAAGCTGCGGGGTGGGTTTCAGTTCACACGTATAGCCATCCAGTCACCTTTGGGTATTTCCAGTTACATTTCCCTTTTTTTTTTTAAGTTTGTTTATTTA